ATCTAGGTTGTCTTGTTTGACTTTTAGGATGTGAAGACGGAAATTGTCTATCAGGTTGTCCATGTTGTGGATAGTTGTATGGCTGTTGATGTTGTTCCCGATCATGCAAACCACTCGTATGAACAACAAATTTATTTTGTAAAAAATGTTTTGGTACTCCTAACAACACAATTATTATATTTAAATTTACCGGTGAACGTTACTTTATTCAACAATAACATCAACATTATCCTATAATACAGGGCAAAAATTTTACTTTTTTGTTTTCTATTGATACTCGTATTCAATGTAAAGTTATCCAATCCGTGGGACAGATAAATATCATGCGTGTTGGGATGCCATGTGGATACACGTTCTCATCTTTAATATACAGGGATGACACGGCCAAGTGATATAAGCTTTAACTTGTACATTTATGTATTATCTCAAACACAGTTTCTTGATTGAATGAATGTGAGACAAGTTTTCTGAAAAACATTGAGGTTTTTAGAAATTTAAATGAACATAAAAGACAACATTTTTCACCAATACCTTAGTTATTCGGTTTAAAATCTATGTATTCGTCTACAGGCAAAAATACGTTATTTTGGTTAAGGATTAAGTCGATGTTAAAATTTTTACATCGGTTTCAGTTTGTAACACGGATTTGTTTTCTCCTAATTGATTTATGACTTTTGAACAGCGGTATAGTACTGTAGCCTTTATTTACAGTCTGAATGTTTAGACAATTGTTACATTTTATTATTAATGCCTTCAAACGTAAAGTTTAGTGAACACTCGATGGTTCCAATGTATGTCATATAAATGAACATTTTTTATTAAATAGACTCTTTGACACTAAAATTAAATAGGTTCAAATTTCTACAAAAAATAAAGCGATATAGTGATTGTAAATGGTTTTATCACAGGGCACATATTATTATAATGAGAACAAATTAAATTCTAAGTAGCTTGGCCGTAGTGAAGAGCGATAAATTTGAACTGTCATTTGAAAATGTGGGTATCACCTAAGGACCTCTCGGATAGCATGACATTCACCCTACACGATACATTTACCGTTCCAGTTCCTATCGTACGTGGCTAGGCATATGTAGACCACCTAACTACATTTATAACAAGGTTTTCACTGCTAGACAGTAGAAGTACGGGAATGACCATATTTGTTGGCTACTATTCCTTAAAAATTTACGTGTCGGACATATTGGGAAACAAAAAGATGGACTTTTATCTTTTGAATTACAGGTTTTGTATTATGATTCAAAATATATTAAAAATACATTTTATGGTCATGATGGTGGTTTACAAGTTTAGTATTATAAATCCTTCATGATTTATACTGATAATTTACATGTAAATCACTGAAGTTAATACATATGTCACATCTGTAACATCACAGTTCATAAGTTTTCTATCTTCGACATACCTTCAACATTCAAATGCAGAGTGTATCACAAATGTATTTTCCTTTGCAGAATACTATATATAAAAGTAAATGTCTTGGGAAGTATGTTGGGATCTACCACCTTCATTTCAAAATATATTTGAATTAGTACGTATAGCTAAAATTAAAGCAAGTCTGGGAAATCTTGTCTTTACTTAGTTATATAGTTTTAGTTAACCATAGACTTAATGAAAAAGAAAGTCTTATAGACGATACGTTCAACGAATCCATATTCCATCCGATTAATAAAAGACTAACGATACCAATTGCCATAAGATGAATGAAATGTTGAACAATACCATATACAAAATGTTCCATACGATAAACACAACGTTTAGGGATACCATATGATTATAACGTGATGTACGGATGCTCGCGTTGTACGTACGATCCAAAGACGAATAAAGTGTTTACTTATACGTAACATGGACTGTTTTGTATATTAAATATTCAAACAGTGCTTCAAAATTTCTGCATATATGTTTATAAAACCTAATGGAACTTCCGTGATGCATGTGACAGTTGTACACAGGTTTATACAACATTTCATCTTTTATTTGTTTTTGTCAAATTTGGCTTAGAATAACATAGCTAACCAGAATAGATAAGTGTATATTTCAAACATAATTGTTTTGTGTGTTTTTTTTTTTTTTGTTAACAATGTACCTAGTTCATGCTTGGTGAAATACTTCGTGACTAGTATATAATCATGATATTAAACCAATTTCAATATCAATTCCATATTGGAATACCGACTGTGTCTCACAATATCAAGCCACCAAACTCAACAAATATGTTGTCGAGTGAAAAGTTTAGCATTTTGATGATATCATCTTTGCTGTATTTATTTTTTCTATCCTTTGTGATTCTTCTCAAAACCTTAAACAAGAAATCTACTTTTCGTTATTTTGTGTAAAAAGCACTGTAAAATAGACAATGTAGTCGATCTTTATTGTGCATGGTGAACAGTAGTGTAACGCGTAACCAAATCAAAGGTTTTTATATTATTGAAAAATTGGAAAGATCGTGATTAACGAATTTGGAGCAGATCTTTACATTTTTTTAGAATCCTCATCTCATTGATATCTATTATGTCAATGATTAATAATACCTTATTCCAATATTTCTGAAATCACAATGTAACAGTAGTAAAGAAAGGTGTTGTGAAGTGAAGACAGATGTTTAGTCGAAAATCTTGACACAGCTATATATTTTATTTTTGGAGATTGCTGTTAAGTTTGAGTATCCAGTATAAAAAGCAGATTTGTATCGTTCTTTTTATGCTAATACCCCTGGGAAGAAGAATGGATTTGTGATCTTATAAGATTAGCTCCTTAGTGAATGATGTGGGTGTATTTTTAAGTTTCAAAGTTTGAACTTAAATTGAAAGTTCTTTAGCATGTTTAGTGAGGTAATCCTAATAATAATTTTAATTGTTTGCATATGAAGCAATATTTTTTGCAGCTTTGTCTGTTTGATCACCAACTAGTTTGTCTTTAATAGGGGATAAAACATTACAAACATCGAGTTTGTCGGAAGAAACAGAAACACGTGAGATCATAGTCAATCGCAACGTTTGCATGCGCTTCTGCATACATGACCAAACAGCATTGATCATATCCGATAATGTGTTCAGTTTTGCATCATCTGGCTTACGCTTTACTAATTTTTTGGCATAGTTCTCGACTTCATTCATCAGCATCGTGCAGTTCCTCTTCCAGTTGATGGACTGGATAATTCGATATTTTGACTCAAGATGTTAATTGTTAACATTGCCAAGGTATCCAGTTAAACCGTGACCCCGGAAATTATTTTTAAAGAAAAGAAAGGATATGTATGAGTCTATGCACAAGAGCAAATGAAGGGGTTGGGTGTTACATACCTGCGGGCTAACGTGTTTTATATCCTGTTGCGGTTGAAATCTTGGAAGCATTAGGTTTCTCGTAGGTATATAACATGATTGATATAAAAAGACAAAAAGAAGATGTTCAAGTTAAAGGTGTGAGTGTTTTGAATGTTATAGAAGACATCGTACATCTCTGTTGCCATGGAAGAAATGTACATTGTTTTGAACTTTGAATTTCATCAATGACCTAAAAAAATAGCCAATGTAAATGTCGGAGTATCGTTCTTTGATACTGTTTAAGCCAATCAAATTATCGCATGTGTTGTATAACTTGCTTTAGCCAATCAAATTAATGCATGTATCGTGCCACTTCTTCGTATCACACTCCAAACATTGTAACACAACACATCTCTTCATACGGGGGAAATTAGCAGGCCACAACCATAAACGAATGAGGATTTAACGCGTCACTAAGAGTATTAAAAGTTTGATTATGATACAATGTTTAGCAAATGTTACACTATTGATTGAGTAATCCATCTGTTTAGAGTGTATAATTTCGAAATTGATTTAAACGTCACAGTAGACAAACAACTGATAGAAAACCAAAATATGTCAACTGCTTTAGTAGCCGCGAGTTATTAGAACAATGCAAAGTAATATAGATATAATGCAATAATGCAAAATAATTGTGTAACATAATATAATATATTGTTGTCACGAAATGTTAACATAAGTTTATGAACAATATGAGTATTATTCCTCGTTTAAGACATAACAAAACGCGTCTAATCACTTATTATTTCGTTATCATACATAATATATGACCGATGCCACTGGTGGGAAAGAACACCCTTACCGGTATACATCACAAATTGTTGTCAATATAATGGAACTAAATGCGACAATCATATAAGTGAGAGGTTTTGTTAGCTATAAAACTTGGTTTAATTCACCATTTTTTACAAAGGAAATGCCTGTACCAAATCAGAAATATGACAGTTGTTTTTCATTCGTTTTATGTGTTTGAGTTTTTTGATTTTTGCCATTTGATAAAGGACTTTCTCTGTCCTGCTTTTATTAACTTTCACTTTTTTAGATCTTTTACTTTTTTTCTGTTGTTATGTATACGACTGCAGTTTTTTATAACTCCCAATTTATTTGATTACATGTCAACACTTAACTAGTATGATACCTAAATTTTGATGATATTTGAAAACAAAACATTCCATGACTTCATATATGCACTGATCAAAATTTTAAAAACTCTTTTTCTCATAATCGAATAAAATTTTTTCGTGTTTATCAAAGAAAGTATATGGTAACGTAGTTTGTTAGATTGATGAGATTTCTAAATCGACAAAGTCAGTTTATTTGTGTAATACTACATTTGGTAGTATGTTCGACAGTTTGTCAATCCGCTAATATGTCCTTTCGTCTATCCGTCATATTGAATATTGGTCGCTTTTTCTCAGAAACGACAATTTATTCAGCCTATGATAGCAGGCCGAATCATGTTGTTTTAATGGACGGGTCGTGGTAGATGTATTAAGCCAACCTGATAATTCTCTGATTGAAGTATTTTTGATTTTTGATTTTAAAATACATTTTTCATAGCCCATTTAATTAATCTGCATAAATTATTTAGTCGGTTTGGTTTTACTGTATTAACTACGTATGATATTAACAGAAAGCTTACATCAAGATGCAAAATCATTTATTTACAACATAAAACAAGAAAGATCCTTGATATGCCATTCCTCTACCTACAATTAAAAATAACATTGTATTAATTAATCAACTCAAATCACAAACTAATCAGTGGACTCTCATCAATTTTGTCTTTTTTTTATCTTTAAGAAATGAGGATTATAAGACCATCTCTATAAGTTGCATTTCTGTAAATATAGACAATGCAATTTCCCATAGGAACTCCCTTTGCGGCTAGAACTGTGTCACATTTACTATGAAGTTCGTAAAAAAATATATCATATAATGGAAAGCTGATATGCACTTCTATTTTATTCAAAGGTCAAAACAGGGCTCTGCGGCATATTTTCAACATTTATATGCCCTGAACTTGATAGAGTGTAAACTTATACTAAAATTATGTTCTACCCCTACCTCCACTTGTTGCCTACTTCAAAATTCAATTTTCACCGCAACAATATGTTTTATACTGGTAACAGTCCCAAGGTATGTCTCTATGAGATGAAACATAGAGATCATATCCGGGAACCACTACGTAAACAGATCAAGTTATCTATGAATATTGTATATCTCTCCAAAAGAGGCGTGGTTTGAGAAACAGCTGTATTTACAAAGTGCAACATATAATGTTTTTCATGATGTAGTCAGGTGAAATTAAAAAAATCTAGAATTTGAAATTGATAGTCTAAGTCAGAAGAGCATTACTTAAGGAACAAAATAAGCTAAAAATATTGATAGATGAAGGAACTTCGTTTTGAGATATTTGATTTTTTTTAAATGGCGGGAAAAGGCTGACTCGGACCTTTACCTTATAATTAGCATTGGCACTAATTGGGTCTCAAATCATAAGGAAAAAAAAATATAGAATCTGCCTAAATTTTGGAAATGAACATTTTACGAGCTATTAAGGTCTTCATTGAAAAGAAAAGTGGGTGGTATGGGGCAAAATATTTTACCCTTTATCGTAGGAAAAAACCCAAGGAGTCCGAACATCTGACAACAATTCATAAACCTGACCTGACTACATCCTTAATAACGTTGAATTATGTTTTAATCTGTAAAATGAGCAACTGTATTGATTATGTAATGGTTCCTATTACCAAATACGTTTTGAATGATGGGTATAATAGACATTCAGCACTGGTTGAATTTATATCAATGTGTTTAAATCATTTTAACTCCTACTTAACTGTATTGTTGGAGGAAAGTTTCAATATATATTTTATAAGTAATCTCTAATCGATTAAGATGTAGGTCTGATTTTTCGTGTTTGTCTTGCTTTATTTAACTGTGTTTAACTGTGTTCAATGTTATTATGCATTACTTTTGTTGTTATCAAATCGCTTCAGGAAATAATTACTTGTATTTAGATATACCTATGATTACGTTTTTTTGTCATGCCCCTTTTCTTTTGATATACTGTATCGGGATGCCCTTTAATTAGGAAATTTCACATTTTTTTGGAGTGATGTTGCAGTTTATGTTATTTCTTTTTGCAATTTAACAATCACGTCATTTCTTTGAGTTGATTCCTACATTAAGGTACAAAAAGATAGAATAAATTACTGAAACCGAATAATTGTAATCTAAAAGAATTTCTACACTGAATATACTGGATGTTACCTGGGCGTATTTAGTAAGCCTTTGCTTTACGCAATCCTCCATGGAATCCACCTCCTATTTGTCCACCTGAATATCCTCCGCTGATACCATACCCACGATAACCACCATGACCAGCATAATTAGTAGCCCACCATGGCAGCCATTTACAACATGTTCTTTTCCACCAAGAATAGAAGGGTAGATGACATTGACTGCTGACTTGTGTCTCTCCCCGACGACATGACCAGCTACGACAGGTACACCACCATCTTCCTGTATAACAATGAGGAGAACATTTCTCTTAGCTTTAGGGTTTTTATATAAATATGGATTAAGGGATTCCAGTTATAGTCGAAAAAAGAATATAAAGTCACAAATTATGGTGCAGGTAAATCTTTCTTCGACGGATCATCTTTTTAACTATTGAAATATTTTCGACAAATGTACAATGTATAAGAAACTTTGGCGATTGTTTATAACTACATAATATTCAGGTGGGAATCTTGGATCGCAAACAATTGCAAAAGATTGGTATAGATCTCAAATCAAATTAGCAAGTTTTGGTTTGTTAAATTGTGAGTAAATGAAGTCATCGTTTATACCTATATTACAACTGTGTGCGCCAGACGCAAATTTCTTCGGCAAAAGTCTCATCAGTGAATCAAAAATGTTTAGATTGGACTTGATAACGAATTTGATTGTATGATAGCAACTATTATTCAAATACAGATTATTTGTAATTCATTCCAACATTTTTGCTATACTTAAGGTACTTTATGGTTCGATCCACTCTTCAACATTTCTATCAAAATTGGGATATTCAAATATTTTGACCTCGAGCATCACTAAAGAAACTTTCAATGTCGAATCGCACATCTGGTGCATTAAAATTTGTACCGTTTATTTTATTTATTTTATTTACTATTATATCATAATTTATCGGTTGTTATTAATGTTTTCTCATTGCAATGAACACAAGATAAAACTTCAAAAAGGTAAAATGTGATAAATTCCTCCTCCTTTTTCCATCGGATTCATCCAAAACAAAAATGTATTGGCTTATCATAAGCTATTCTATTCCGTCTGTTTTAAGATACGCTTACTATACTTCCTAGATTAAAGCGGAATTTTCTAACCATCTTGATATACAAAATTTACATCATCATATCATATCAAAGCTGCAATGCAAGACCCGCGTGTTGCGCACTTGCCAACTGTGTCCTATGTTGTTATGCTTGTAAATCAGTGTTAAACATGCTTTCATTTAATACATCAACAGTTTAGATATAGTATGCCAGATATGCTTAGGAGTTAGATAACTAAAAGTAGCATCAATGATTTTCAAAACATTTAATTTTAATTGTATCACTGTTTGTATAAAGCTATCAAACAAAAAAGGAAAGCTGTACACACCTGATCCATATCCCCCTGAATCAACACTACCTCCAAACCTGTATGTCCTACCAATTCCAGTTCCTAGTCCTGCACCGATGGGGTCACTACCTACACTGCTTCCCAAACCATTACGATAACCAATTCCAGCTCCTGGTCCTGCACCAATGGGGCCACCACCTACACTGCTTCCCAAACCATATGGAAAACCAATTCCAGCTCCTGGTCCTGCATCAATGGGGCCACCACCTCCACTGCTTCCTAAACCGAATGGATAACCAATTCCAGCTCCTGGTCCGGCACCGATGGGGTCACCACCTACACTGCTTCCCAAACCATTACGATAACCAATTCCAGCTCCTGGTCCTGCACCGATGGGGCCAACACCTCCACTGCTTCCTAAACCGAATGGATAACCGATTCCAGCTCCTGGTCCGGCACCGATCGGACCACCGCCTACACTGCCTCCCAAACCATATGAATAACCAATGCTAGCACTGGGTCCTGCACCGATGGGGCCACCACCTACTCTGCTTCCTAAACCATATGGCAACATAATTCCAGCTCCCGGACCTGCATTGCTTTGGCTACCCCTCACACTGCTTCCCAAACCATACGGAAAACTAATTCCACCTCCACGACCTGGTGCGACCACGACATCATCGCCTAATCCACTGCTAGATCTGCCGCTAAATCCACCTCTTCGCAGGGGAACATTATTTAACTTATTGAAAGTTAAAGCTTGTTGAAAACACCCAATTACCGTCAAAATGGTAAATAAGTTCCTTGATGTAGCCATTTGTACCGTTTCTAGGATAATGTCCTGTAATAAACTATCACACATCTTCCTGTATTTATACAAACATATCGACAGCTGAGAAGAGTAAGAAAAACCAACAGAAAAAGTGATTGAAATCACACCATGTACTCAATCGTCTTTTTTCGTAAATTTCATGTAAATTTTGTTTGATCCTTTTATCTTAACATTGACAAATAAAGGTTAGTTTAAGACCAATAATCAAATTTAACACATGCTATCTATCAATGGATCATAAACAAGCTCAACACCACAAAACATGTTTAAAAAGACCGCTTTAACATTATTTTTTCATAAAATATGCACTTTTGTTTTGGTGTTTCTCAATATCATGAATATACAGTGGAGCAAAACCGTGTGGAACACAACAGTAGATTGATTAACGTCTGGTTCATTAATTGACTACATCATGATATAAACCATGGTACATGAAATACACATTGAACGACTGTTAAAGACGGGAAAGCCATAAATGTTTTGAAGTTTTTTTTTACACAATCATCAATTCATAATTGCACTCCTTGCTGTTTAACAAAATACTTAATGTACAGCTTTCAATCAAGAATCCTTGTTACATCAATACTTAACACTAATACTAAATATCCAGGGAGATATTCAGTAAAACCTATTTTATTTATATTCTACTCATTCTAATACAGTTCTTATTTTTTATCTATAATTAATGAATAATCATAATACCATATAAGATCATTTAAAAGTCAAAATATTACACACGCTGTGTCGAAATATTTACGGAAAATAATATTTATTACACCGTTATGGATTATTTTACTAATATTATCTGTTACCATCTATAAAATGTAATACAGCGGGGTTTAATGTTTCTAGTTCTTTTGTTACTGTGTAACTTTTGATTTATTTTAAAACACGCTGGTTTTGGATCTTCATGCATTAAAAGCTATTTTTTCGCGATAAGGTAACTAGCAAATAATATGAAAAATTCATAAATGTACATGCAATTTCTTTAATGAATGCTTACAGCTATCAGAGATAAGAATATATCAAGCAAAATCAATGCGTAATGAGTGGGACCTAAATAAGAGAGATATTTGTAAACCTATCAACTTCGTGAAGTTTTAAAGTTTTTCCTGAATGAAAACCATTCTTAAAGAGAGGCGACGATTCCGAACTGACATTCAAACTGATAAGTCGAAAACAAATTTAAACTTACAAATCCGTGGAAAAAAGGAAAAACGACGAAATGACAAACATCAGTATAATACACAATTTATACTGCACTTCCACTCAATCGTATCAAACAAAAGTTATTTTATTTAATAAAATGGTCGTTTGAAAATCTGATTGAAAATAGACTTGCTGCAACCATATAAAACCTGTTTCTTTAATGAGAAAGTTAGATATGATAGATACACTTACTATATGTGTGATAGGAATATACAAACTGTAAATTTTCTCTTTGAAGACATGGAAGTACGTTTCGGCAATAAAGCTTATCGACAGGTTGTTGGAATCCCCATGGGCACCAATTGTGCCCCTTTAATATCAGACGTGTTCCTGTTCTGATATGAATCACACTTTATGGCCAAACTCAGTAAAGATCCGTCTGAATTTCCTTCAATTAATAAATTCAACAACACTTACCGTTATCTTGATGATATTTTTCGTTAAATAATAAAGAACTCTCTTAATATACTTTCGAAATTTACCCAAAGGAACCTACTTCAAATAAATATTGGAAAAAAAAATCCTTTGGTTATAAATAACTTGTTAACAACACTTTTCGAAATACGAAGGATTATGTAGAAAGAGATTTACTTAGCTGCATTTGGCAACATCTTTCAGAATTCTAGGTCGACAATGATCCTCAACTTCGTACTTTGCTTGGCCTTTTTAACTTTTTTTATTCGGGTGTAACTGATGAGCCTTGTCAATACGAAACGTGCGTCTGGCGAACAACATTTTTGAGCCTGGTATCTATGATGAGTTTATCCTAGATTAAAATATTTCAGTTTTACTTTACACAAAAATTTACTACAAAAGGAATGGTTTTTCTTTCATTATTGTTAATTTCCTTTTTGAACGTTGATGTTCCTTTAGCATTGTCTTACGGTGTTCATATACCCCATTTCGTTCGCTATTCCGTGTTTGTAGTGACGTTTTGGATTTCAATGAGCGTAATCTATGTATTACTGATAAATTAGGTCAGGGATTTTGTTACTAAAGATTACGTAAAAACTTTACTCAATTTTTTTATGGATACAAATATTTGGTTTGACAATTCGACCGTATCTGTAGAAAACTTATTTCAAACGGAATAGCACATGTTATTTGTTACATTGATGTCATTGACTGAGCTCGGAAATTGAGATACGATCCGGTAAAACTTATCAATCCTTTAAATACACCTATTCTAAAAGGTTACAAATTCAACACTATAATTAGATCTTTAAATATTGCTTTTATTGGTATAAATATTGCTTTTTTTATCCGTAAATTAAAACCATACTTATTAGAATTGTTAAACCAATATGCACATTCACGGTTCTACAATCTGTCGATATCTATATCTGTTGGCAGTGCACAAGTTCATGTTTTTCTCTAACTATTAAACACGTTTTTACCCTTAATCTATTGGATGTTCGATTTATACTGATTGATATTTTAGTCTTAGATACATGAATCTTTTATAAGTTGTCATTGGCTTTTAACGTGTTGTCAGTAACAGCGAGTACTCTCAGATCTGTACTTTGTATCTTTGTATCGTTGTATCTTTTTTATTGTGACGGATGTATAAATTCCATGCAACGTCCGGTCTGTGCTTTTTGTAGATGGTTTTCTGCTATGTATCAATCTGATGGGTTAAGCCTTTTGTGTTGTATAGTTTGTTCTTATGTTGTACTGTTACAACACTTTTCCAAGTTAGGGAGGGGTTGGCACCTGCAGACATGTTTTACTCCGCCACGTTCGGAATGTTTCTCAAGTCAGGAGCCTGTAGTTTTTTTGCTGTTTCATGTCTGTCAAATTCATAATTCATAATTTGTTTTGATATACATTAGGTCTTTAGTTCTCTCAGTTTTTGTTGTTGGTACATGTCTTCAATATTTGTTTGTCGTGATGTGTTTTGTTATAAAGTAAGCCTTTAGTTTTCTCAATTGAATTATTTCATATTTCTCATGTCGGAATATTTTTTAGCCGACTATACGGTATTGGTTTTTATTTCTCATTTTTGAAAGCCATGCGGTTGCTTATAATTGCTTATATCCAATTCATTTGAACTTTGCTGTGTCATTAACAATCATACTTAATCTAATTTTGTTTAATTAAGACTGAGCACTACGAACTTCGCCAAAAAGACACAAATAAATGGATTGAAAAAACGACGGTTAACTCTTCCTAAAAAAAAGTGTCCCTACAAACACAAAATGGGTTTTGTCAGGAGCCTGTAATTTAGTAGTTGTCGTTTGTTTGTGTGTTACATATTTGTTTTTCGTTCATTTTTTGTACATAAATTAGGCCGTTAGTTTTCTTGTTTGAATTGTTATTTCGGGGCCTTTCATAGCTGACTGTGCGGTATGGGCTTTGCTCATTGTTAAAGGCCGTACGGTGACCTATAGCTGTTAATTTTTGTGTCATTTGGTCTCTTGTGGAGAGTTGTCTCAATGGCAATCATACCAAATCTTCTTATTTTTATATTCAGTGGCAATCATACCTCATCTCCTTATTTTTACATGGAGTACATTTTGACACATACGTTACAAATATAAAAACATACCGCATTATCAGCTATAAAAGGTACCGTAATGACAAATGTAAAACAATTCAAACAAGAAAACTAACGGCCTAAATTATATACAAATTAATAAACAAAAAACAATATGATTAACAGAAACAAGCGACAACCACTGAATTAAAGACTCCTGTCTGGGGACAGGCAAGTATTTCTAATCATGTTTTATACATATTGAACAGTGTTGTACACCTAAAACCAGTATGCCGTATGATCTTACATTGAATTTCTTTTCCTGACATCTGTGTCTATATCCTGTAATACATTGTGAATCCGGGAATCTTTTTATACATCTGTTAATATTTGAATGCGTCGACAGAGTAAACTTCTCTTGCTATGCATGAAGCACTCAGGCCTGGCATGTAAAGAAATACTCGGTATTATCTTGTTATCTCAGCAAAATCACTATACAACCTATATCCCAGGATCTGCTTTCCTTTCCGGAGCACCTGAGATCACCCCCCAGTTTTTGGTGGGGTTCGTGTTGCTTAGTCTTTGGTTTTCTATGTTGTGTTGTGTGTACTATTGTCTGTCTGTTTGTCTTTTTCTTTTTTAACCATGGCGTTGTCAGTTTATTTTCGATTAATGAGTTTGAATGTCCCTCTGGTATCTTTAGCCCCTCTTTTAAACATAATTTGTACCATAAGAAAAAGGAAATGAAATAGTAAAATTTTGCGTAAACTAAAGAAGCTCAATATATACCCGAGTAGACATAGTTAACCTCAGCCAAAAAACTTTAACCTTGACCTTTGTACATTATATAGTAATGAGGTAAGGTATTATGACAACCTTAAATTTCAGACAATAGTTATTAAAAACAAGAATAGATTGCTCCTGTACCTTCTGAACTATAGTCTAAAGTTTCTAACAAGTTAGAAGCCACCTGATACATATCCATATACGTCAGATTCTGCGGCTTTCATCGAAGTCGAGTCAAAAACTACCACATTGTACCATGGAAGAATCCTTC